TTTTCGCGACTACAGTGCCGTGGGACATGAAAGTGTTTGGCCATTACACTCACAAGAAAAACAAAAATTGAAACCAATGAATACACTTTTTTAATGAGATTTCAATCTCTGTTTTTATTCTAATCGCAGTCGCGTAGCACCTTCATTTTTATATATCTTTCGTAACTCGGTCTGTTCTATTATAAATTTAATGTAGGAAATATACGCTCATATAAAAAGAAAATGCTTAAATTATAAAAAATACCAATAAGCTAGAACTGTTTGTAGTGCACATAGCATCAAACACCAGGAGCACCCATTATATCAAGATGGCACGGTAACACTAGATTTCCGCTGATTCTCGGGAAGTAAATATATGAGCGTAGCGTATCCTTAATCGGGTTGCTAATCTACGCCAATATTTAAGTTTGAAGGTAAACGTTTATTAGCGAACTTTCAAAGTTGCTGAGCTGTTTTTTGCTGGTTAGGCAAATTTTTCCATTAAAACTTCGACGTGATGATGTCGAAACACGACTTTCATTATCTTTTGTTCATGAAAAACGATTAAGGTAATTAATTGATATGATGATTGATTAATTGAATTATACGTGCTAATTGGAGCAATCGCCCGTAAGATGTAATTTAAATCGGCCAGACAAATGAATTACTGATTAAATTTGAAGCATAACTTAAAGGTCAAAACTTCTTGCTATTACTTACCGTATCAGAAGGCCGGAGAAGTATCGTAATGGCGGATTTCGATATCGAGGTAGTTTAGGCCTTATGCGACTGTAAATTAGGAAAAAACCATATTAATCATTTCTGTAGGTCTATCTGTCTGTCTTATGAACGACCGCCGGCTGGTTAATTAGTTTTGGTCAGATATGCTATGACAGCAAGAGACATTAAACAGGCTATCTAGATGGCGCTAGAAATCTGCAATTCAGTAATATTGTGGTGGTACATATTAAAAACCCGTACAATATACCCGACTTTCCCCTATACAAATTTATGTGTAGAATTATTTATGAACGCCACCTTATAAAGATGTATACACCTACAATGCAATAAATAAAAGATTTTGAATTGTAGTAATTAGATTAACTGTATTATAAATAATGCAGTTAACAAATACATCGATATTGTGGCCTACATACATAGGGTTTTTTGTACCATGTTTTCTAGCTTTGGTAACGTATGGAAAATTTATTATATTATTTTCCTATTTTTGTTATATACCTTTCTCCGCATGATAATTTTCTCTTTGTAGATCCTTTGGGCTTGAAGTACCACAGCAAGTGGCTATAACCGGCCGCGTGGTTGTGGTTATTTGTTGCCTTGAAAATTCGAGGTCTTCTAGCCATTTTATACTACAATGTGTAGGTTGGCTCTTGTTGTGGACTTCGTGTGTCTTTTTTTCCTCTCCAACTTTGTTTCCTCAGGTTAACCCGTATCCGGATGTATGGGCATGTGTCTCTACTTTTGTAGTTGCATATGTGCATTCATTTCGGGCCTGATGAAGCCAACCAGCAGAAATACGTATCGCTCGGGTTACCTATCCTATTTTCTGCTCGAATCCACTTTTTGCGGATTTTGTCCATTATTTTCCTATTTTTGTTACATATATATATATATATATATATATATATATCAATGATTTGCAGAACCACAAAGATGGAAACTAAATACTATTTGCTGATGATACTGCCATCTCTGTTAGATCAAAAAATATTTCTGAGCTACTTGGGAAAGGTGTGATAGCACAGTCGTCTGCCAAAAACTGGTTTGATGCAAATAAGCTGACCCTGAATGAAAACAAGACAGTAAATATGAAATTTTCATTGAAAGATCCAGAAACACAACATACAGAACATACAAAATTACTAGGTATACACATACAAGAAATTGAAATTGAACATACATATTGATAAACAGTAAAAAACTAAGAAAAAACATTTATTTACTTAGAAGCTTATCGTATGAGTTGAATCGTGATACGTTGAAGTCAGTTTATTTTGCTCTATGCCACTCTTTGATATAATATGGTATCTTAGTTTGGGGTCAGGGTGCAGACATTTAATAATTACCTGAATACATTGATATTTAACTTGAAAAGTCGAATAAACACGTTGAGTTTAGTTTAGAAGATGCTGGAAATAGTTGCCCTGAACTTCTTGACGCAATAACAGCCGGTCCGTAATTTCGCGTCAAACATAGTAAGGTCGATATTTCTACAAATATTTGTTATTCTCAGCCGTATATCCAATATTGAAGCAGGTTCAGTTTCGTACACCTTTTTCTTCAAATAGCCCCATAAAAAAAGGTCTAAAGGTGTCAAATTTATTATTAATTTATCAATCAGGCTTTCAGAAAAACCGCAGTACAACTACAGCCTTGTCTTATCTCATTGATAGCATCATATCTTCCATCGACAGTAAAAACATGAGCTTGCTGGTACTGTTAGACTTTTCCAAGGCCTTCGATACGCTTAACCATCGACTGCTTGTTGCCAAGTGCCACTACTATGGCTTCGATGAAGTGGCCTGCAACTTTATTACGTCATATTTAAAGGAACGTAGGCAAAAAGTAAATATCAATAATCAAATTTCGACACCAAGGTACATTCAGTCAGGTGTGCCACAAGGCTCAGTACTGGGACCATTGATGTTTTTACTTTACACTGCAGACTTACATGATAGCTTCAAGAATACACATGCTCAATTTTTTGCTGATGATACGCAGATGAAGTGTGATTTTAATGCGGACAATGTCCAGGAGTCCATGATGCTAGTAAATGCGGATCTGGATAGTGTTAATAGGTACTGCAGCTCTCACAACTTGAGACTAAATCCCTCAAAATGTTCTGCTATATTATTTGGCAATAAAAGATTATCTGAAAACCTTAAACCATTAATTCACATAAAAGTTAATGGAGAGGAAATTATTTTTTCTGAAATAGTAAAAAATTTGGGCATTCACTTTGACTCGGACTTACGTTTTAACTCCCATCTGAATAATGTCTTGAAAAAATGTTATCTATCCCTCAGGCTTCTATTTGCAAACAAACATATTCTGCATAGAAACATCAAAATTAAATTGTGTCAAAGTTTAGTTATTTCTAAAATGTTATATGGCTTATCCTTATATTACCCATGTTTGACGTCTATTAACGCAAAACGTTTGCAGATAATGCAGAATACCTGTGTACGGTTTATCGAGGGCCTAAGAAAGTTCGATCATGTATCACACTTGTATCGTAATCTTGCATGGCTAAGCGTTCAAAACCTTTTTAAATACTCCATTATCAGCTTTACTCACAGGATCATACTAACATCATCCCCTCAATACCTCAGCTGTAAACTTGTTCCAAGGGCGTCTGTGCATAATCTTCAGGTTCGTAACCGTGACACCTTAACTATGCCAATACACCGCACATCACTTTTTAGACGAACTTTCACATACAATGCAATTTTATATTACAATAGCTTAAGCCAGGATCTGAAGACTATCCAGTCCTCCCGGAGTTTTAAAACTCAGTTAAAAAGATATTTACAAGAATTGCAAAACAACCGCTAGCTTAAGAAGTTCTTTCATTTTCATACTTTTTGTATTTTTCATTAATTATTTTTCCGTTTCTTCATAACCTATTATCTCTTCTTCTTTTTATAGCTAAATTGGCACAAATAGACCTATTATAATGTAAAATATTATCTCTTCTTCTTTTTATAGCTAAATTGGCATAAATAGTCCTATTATACTGTGACTTAATGTTTGTAGTTTCACATTTTTTTTTTGTTTGTTTTTGTATAACTTGTTTTTTTTTCACTTTTGTACGGGGTTAGATGGTGGAATAGCAGGTGCTAAATCTCGCCCCATGTAATGTACCATGTTTTTGGTCAATAAAGACGATTATTATTATTAAATCTGGCGAGCTAGCTGGCCATTCCACAGGTCCTCGACGGCCAATCCAACGACCGGGGAAATTGTTATTAAATAATTCCTAACTTCTCTGTAGTAGTGTGGTAGAGCACCATCTTGCTGGAATACAATATCAGTATCGAATTTATTAGGATTCGCTTCGACGATTTCAGTGATTAGAGGGTTAATAGTATTTTCCAGCATATCGAAATACAGTTCCCCGGTTAAAGTTTGTTCCGTGAATAGAGGCCCCACAATATGATTTCCCAATATCCCAACCCAAACGTTAATTTTTGGATATAGGTAGGATGCCGTGCAATGGTTTCCGTCATAGTCTCGCAGAATTCTGTTCTTCGATCAGGGTCATCTTCAGTTAGCTAATGTACCATTTGAATTTTGTATGGGTGATACTTATTCTTTTTCAAACGTTTCCATACAGTAGAAGGACAAACCTCACAGACATTCGCGATGGAAGAAGTAGACTGTTGGGGATTTACTATGATCTCACCAATTATTTGAACTTGCTTTTCTTCCGAGATGGTCCCAGGGCTTTTTGTTGTTTAAACTACCAGTAGTTGTAAATTTGGATACAAGTTCCCTAAAATATTTTCTACAGATAGGACGATTCGAGAAACGATCATTAAAAAACCTTTCGGTCTCTGAAAGTTACGCGTCGCACCATAAATAACAATCGCTTCGACGAGAATTGACCATTTTAAAAATAGTTCAAACAGTATCTAGCACTAACACAGAAAACTAAATAAGATTATTTTAACTGTACAATGATGTTTGTTTTCGTACTGATATTCTTGTCACTGTCAACAAAAAATAACAAAACAAGTTTTTATCGCTGTTGCTGTGGATACGACAGGGAATTACAATTATTTGTAGATATATGCATGTTAGTGGGTTTGTGTCCAAGTAATTATTAATTAAATGTACCACCATTTTGTAGTAGGTAAAGGTATTGACTTTATATTCTAGGATTATAAAGTACTCGTCAGGAGCTTCAAAATGATGTGCCACAAGACCCCCGTTTTCATATATTTTTTTTTCCAAGAAGGCGCCCTGCTGTCAGCTTGACGTTTTCATCTGGCAATTTCATTACCTCAAGTTTTAATTTTTTGAATTGATCCGTTCAAAAAAGAAAAGCACTGTATATAGAATAGTTACAAGTATTTTGGAAACCAATGTAGTGATATCGTAATCCAGGAAGAAGCTTTATTTTCTAACAATATGATTTTGCAGGGACATAGTGGTACCGAAACCTTCAACGCAAACGGAAGAATCAAAAGACGAAGACGACGATGATGTTTTCTATGACACTGAAGACGAACCAGAAAGTGATAGCGAAGACGAAACAGATTCCAGTGTAGTGTAAGTTTCTTAAAAAGCTGAAGTCCTATAACTATTTAGCCAAATAATTATTACTTTTTTAACTTCACAAAACTAAGAATCTATGCTCGTTCCAGTAAAACCATTTGAATTGGAATTATAGTCCTTTCAGATCCTTTTATTCTGTCTGTCATAATTCAAGATTTTATTTGTTTTTTTTTTAACATGTTCAAAACATGAATAATCTTTTATTAATAACTGCACTTGTTTCCAAGTTATCCACTCTTATACGACAAAAAATGTCTTCAGTTTGTAATGAAACATTCGATAATAGAGATGTGTTGCTCACGTGATAATTGGTCTGAAAGTTTAATTAGGGGTTTTAACAGTCAAAACGTTCCACTAAAGGTAATCCCACTAAAACAAAAGTTTTTGGAGTGTAGTATATCGATATTTTCGATATTCATATGTTCAGCAACCTTCCATCTGAAAAAAAGCAAATCCGACCTAAAACACCGATTCCAATTCAGATTTTGCTTGAATCATTGACACAGAATCGCTAGGAGACATAGCATAACGCTTTGAGCCTCGGCGTCGAGCCAAGATTTTTATCGTACAAATCTATCAAAGTGTCATGCACAACTGAGACGGGTTTTTAATGAGATATTTTCTTTTCGTTTACAACTTTAGTCGTTGTTTTGTGTGTATTATCGAATTATGTTTTTCTTAATTACACACACACACACCCTCCTACCCTGTGCGGTCCCTCCACCACTCCTGTTCCAGGCAACCTCAAACCCTTGAGGAATGGGGGGAAGAGCAATCTGCTCCTCCCTCCTCTCCCGCCCGAAAGCCTGGCGTGGCGCTGCGTGGTTCAGGCCGCTGCGTATTCTCCGAGTGGGAGCTGCCGAACGAGCTAACCCCCCTCCCCAATTTTGCCCCTTTTTCCCGAAATTTGACTCGATCCCGCACGCGTCGCGGAAGCACGTGGTGGACGTTTCTTCCAACTGTCGGTTCTCGACTTTTATGGACGGCCTCTTTCTTGGGGGTCCTGCGCTGGGGGCTTTGACCTAAGCTCCGCATTAAGGTTGGTGAGCCTTCGCTCTTTCCTCGTCGACTGGAGTCAGTCAGTCGTCGTCAGTCAGTCATTTGCTGTTAGTCATTCGTCTCCTGAGGTTAGCCCCGAGTACGTGCTTGACTCTGGCCACCTCAATCGACATGCTTCTTTTTGTCCACCCGTTGTACACGGGCTGTTCTTTCCCCTCTTGGGTGTACAACTATTGTCGGTCTTCTCCCCTTTTCTTTGGCCTCATCAGCTGCTATGGCAAAATTGCTTCTTGTTGCAGCTGGCTTTTCGGTCTTTTATGACGCCTTATTGTTCTTGGGTCGTAATCCAAGGCGTCTTTAATCAGCACATTTCGGTGTCTTTCGTTCTTTTCAAAGAACTTTCGGACCCTCTCTCTCATCTGGATTACGACCGGTACCTGTCGTAGTTCGTCATATAGCACTCTGTTAGGTACATACCACGGTGCGTCCACCGCCTCTCGGAGTTGTTGAGCTTGGAGCCTCTTCTTCATCGTTTTGGAAACGTAGCCCCAAGCTACTGCTGCGTAAGTCATGATTTGGAGCAGCACCATCTGAATCATGATGGTCTTATTCTTTAGAGACACTTTGCTTCTTCTGCCTGTTAAAGGTCTTAGTCTGGAGCGTGCCATCTTCACTTTCTGCACCTGGCCCTCGACATGGTTCTTCCAAGTGAGTTTTTGGTACATCTTGACTCCAAGGTATGTGCTGGAGTCCTTCCAGTCGACCTCAACTTCTTCGTCTCTTCTCCAGCCTCTCTCCATTCTGGTGGTCGTCATCTTTATTTTGGTTTGAGGTAAGCGGTTGCTATATATGATGGAAAGATCATTTAGCGGTTGCACCGTTAGTACCTCCTTTTTGTACACAACTTTCGTACGACCCCTACTGGAGTTTGCTGGTCCGGTATGGGATTCAAACCTTGTTCGCGATAGCAGCTTATTAGAGGCCGTTCAGCGTCGTGCTACACGTATGCCATATGGCACACGTAGGCCAAGTTATGAAGACCGCCTCGAGCTATATAACCTGCCTGCTTTTGCTGATAGAAGAGTACGAGGAGATCTCATCATCACTTTCAGAGCACTGCATAATTTGTTTGGTGTGGACATGTCGCATCTGTTTCGTCTGGCAACGAACAGTCTCAGAGGCCATAACTTCAAATTGCAGAAGGAAGCTTTTAGAACCTCTACTCGTCAGCGCTTCATCTCAAACCGTGTCTTCGATGCATGGAACAGTCTTCCATCTTATGTAGTGAACTCGGAATCCGTCAACAGTTTCAAAAACAATTACGATAGACACCGCAGTGCTTAACATATTGTTCCCATTCTGTATATGTCTACTTCAGAAGTGCTAAGATTGTCAAATTGTTATATTTCTTTTGTCTGTACACTATTATCTATTTTTGTGTTTGAGTTTATAGTACTTGTACTCAACTCAAATTTGTTGTTTAATAATAATAATAATAATAATAATCTTCGATTTCTTCGGAACAGTACCGCTTCGGTCTTCTCAGGGTTGAGACGGATCTTCCACTTGATGCACCATTCCTCTAGGTTGGTAGTCGCTCGTTGCAGATATTCCGTAACCATGCGGGGTCTCGTATTTTCTGCCGCATATGCTGTATCGTCCGCATACACATACAGTTGCGTTTGTGGAGTCTTCGGAATGTCTGAACTGTAGATTGCATACAGCAGGGGTGATAGAACTGCTCCCTGCGGTACTCCTGCCTCCACAGTCCTCGTCGCCGAAGTTTCTTTAAAAATCCTAATTCGGAATTTACGGTGCTTCAAATAGGACTTCACCAGTTGGATCATCCCCTTTGAGTATCCGAGGTCTACCATCTTGTAGATCAGTCCGTCATGCCAAACAGTGTCGAACGCCTTGGCGGCATCCATGAACACAGCTCGCACGGCCCGCCGAGTCTGGAACGATTTCGTTGCCATCTCGACCAGCTTTAGGACCTGGTGCTCTGCTGAATGTTCGCTTCGGAATCCGAACTGTTCGTCTGGAACTACTCGGAGTTCTGCAGTTTCGTACCTCAGTCTTCGTTCGATTACCCTTTCCGCAATCTTGCTCAGTGCCGTCAACAGGCTTATGGGTCTGTAGTTTTGGGGGAACCTTGGGTCTTTCCCAGGTTTTGGAATGTTGAACACTTCGGCTACTTTCCAGTGATCTGGAAAGTATCGGTGTCTCAGTATGGCGTTGACAATGTTGGTAATTGCCATTATCGCTTTCCTCGGGAGTCTCTTCAAGACTCTGTTCCCAATTTCGTCTACACCCGGTGCTTTCTTCACCTTGAGTCTTCCGATGATTTCCCTTACCTCGCCTGGAGAGGTCCTGTCTTCAAGGGCTCTTCCTCCTCTTACAGCTCTCCTCGATCTTCTCATCACCTCGTCGATGAAGTCTTCGTCTTCATCGGGGTGAGTATTGAGAGTTCACTGTCTCTGAAGGTTGTCAGCAAAAGCTTCTGCCTTCTCTTCGGTTGTGTAGACCATCTCCTGTTCGCTGTGTATTGGGGGGATGGGCTGTCTTCTGTTTTAGCCAAGTTCCACATTCCTGGATCAGCTGGAGATAGTTCTTCGAGTTTCTTATCCCAGGTGCTCTGATGCTGCTGCTTCAAGGCGTCTCTTGCCTGTCTTGTCAATCTGTTTGCCACCATGATGTCCGTGGGGCTTCTGGTCTCCTGGGCTACTCTTCGGGCTCTATTTCTTTCGGTGATCTTGCGATTTACCTCGTCAGGTAGGTCCCTGAACCTGTTTGGTTGCGTTATGTCTTCCACGGTGGTTGCGGCTTCTAACGCAGCCGTAATCTTCCTTTCTAGGTCCGTGACCGCTTCCTCTATGCCTTCAGGGCTTTCGATCTGAAGTAGTGCCAATCCACTCTCTTCACTGTTCTTTGCTCCACAGGTGTTCTCCCATCTCCCATATGGAGAAAGATGTGGTTGTGGTCTGAGCTTCCCTCTTGCAAGGCGCCGATGGTCGAGCGCAGGTCGATTTCTTTCAGAATCGCCATATCTATGACGTCTGGTCTACCTCCGTTGCTGGGGTATATTGTGGGTTCATCCGGACCTATCATGGTGTATCCAGGTTCGTCCATTAGTCTTTCGAGAACAGTGCCATGACTGTTTCTATTTCTTGAGCCCCAAATGGTGGACTTCGCATTTAGATCACCTACGATCACGGTACTATTTCCCAGTGCAGTGATACAGGTGACATCTTCCAGATGAATGGTCGATGTAGGTGGTACGTATATCGATACGATGTTCAGAGGGCCGTGGTCTGTTGAGCGTACCGTCATGTCGTGTATCCCTGTATCGTCCAGTGTGGGATTTCCCAAGAGAGCCACGTTTCTTGTAGTGCCATTGCATCATAGTTCCCTCTTGTTAGGACTTCGCCTATATCATATTTCTTGTTGGAGACGCTATGAACGTTCCAACTCAATATCTTCAGGCCTCTATTTGCAATGGTTATTGGAGTGCCCATTTGGAGTTTCGGTCAGTGCTATCCTTTTTAGGCGTATTTTCGCTCCAGATGAGCGAAATACGCTTTCTTGGCAGCCGGTTTTTTCATCACCAGCGACATACTTGAGATGCGTATTTGGTGGCAAAGCCTGTCAACTCCTGGTCGTCGCTGTCTTTGGCACTGCTGGCCTGAGCGGCTTGGGCCACTTTAGGTGTCCCAGCTGTTGTCGACGCATAACTACGGCCCTCCTGAACTGGACTAGGCCTAGTTATGGTTTTGGGTGCTGGCGCTGCTCGCGCTGTGCCCCTTGCTGCCGTCTTATATTCCCTTGGCCCTGCACTCGGCCTCTTTGATCATCCCCCAAAGTTTGCGGGATGCTCTCCCCCGCAGTTGGTACACTTCGCGGGCGTTTCATTTGGGACCTTACAGTCCGCCGCTCTATGCTTTCCTGCGCATCTAGCGCAGCGCGGCTCTCCCGTGCAGTTCATTTGGCTATGGCCAAATTGCTGGCATCGGTAGCACTGACCTGGTCCAGTCCTCTTTCTGAGTGCCTCCACTTGGATCACCATGTGGCAAACGGCATTTATCTTGTAGATCCCCGTCTCTTCCTTCGGGAGATCTACTTTAATCAGCGGTATCGCTTTGCCAGTCCTTCTGCTGGGTGGAAACCTTGCCTTGCCAAGTCCTCTCCGATCTCTTGGCAGGTGGTAATGATGGGCATTCCCCTTAGTACCACTCCCAGTGGCTTATCCTCCGGAAGGGAGTATGTATGGTGCTCAATTTTGGCATCCTCTAGAGTTTTCCTGACCCTTCTGTATTCTTCGCTGTCCTTTGGTTGGACTTTAATACCTGCACCTGTCAGTCGTGCAAGTTTCTCGATGGAGAGCATCTTCTTTCTTAGCACTTCCTTCCACTGCTCTTCCTTGTGGATGTAGAGTGGTGGTGGCCTCTTCTCCTTCTTCTTGCTTCCCTCCGCCGACGGAGGTTTGGGGGTGGGGATGGAAGACTGCTCCATCGCATCCACTTCAGCTGTTGCCTTGGTTGCCGACGTAGACGCTCCATCTGCGTTGTTTCGAGGTGCCTTCTTCCTAAGGGTTTCTCTCTGCTTCCCTTCTTCTGAAGAGGTGCTAGGCAGCCTTCTCTTTTCGTTCTTCTGCTGTTTATGCGGAACCGTCTTATCTTTTCCTTCAGGCTTCATTGTTAGGTCATTGAGGTCTTCTACCTCAATTCCTTGCATGAAGGCCATCAGCTGAATGAGCTTGCTGGTCTTTTCGCACTCCTCTGAGCTCACCCTTCTCTCTTCCACCAGTTGGCGGGTCAGGTCAGTCAATTGGTAAGATAGCTCGGCTATCTGCCTCTTTAGTTCTTCGTTTTCCTTCATCATCTTTTCGTTGTTGCTCAATTTACGGTGACCCGCATCTTGAGCAGCTACCTCTTCCTCGCTATTTGAGGAATATTCAATTTCTTCGTCCGTCATTTTTTGGCGCAGTGTCGACTTTTTTAAAAGTTCGACTTTTACACAAATTGAGTAATTTTTGTGCACTGGTGCCCTTTTGGGCTCACTGCACTTCACCTGGTTTGTTTATTGCGTTCTTTTTCGCTGGGTCCGGGTTTTACACAATTTCCGACGAGTGGAAATTGTGTAAAAGTTTTTCTATCCCGGTTAAGGCTTTGCCTGTTTGGTGGGCGTCACCCTCGCGTTCCGGCGTTCTCTCCGTGCGTCGGTCGCGTCTCGGTCGCGCGCGGGTCGCGTGGTCGCGTGCGGTCTCACTGTCCTCGGTTCGGCGTGGTTCACTTCTCGACTTTTTTTTTTTTTGGTGAGGGGGGAATGAGTTTATGCACCATACCATAGCCCAAGCTACGGCGTGTGCGGGACTCCAGGTTGTCTTGAGGAGACCACCTAATACCCACTAAACCCTAACCTCCGCGTGGCCCGACTCATCAGCGTCTCGGTAGGGCATATGTTGTGCGTGACCTGCGGTCTGCTACAACGTCTCCTAATGTGTTTCAGTCTCTGGGAACGCCGGGTTGGTTCCCTTTACCTCGCACAGTTCTATCGATGTCGTTAAGCGGGCATCGATATAGGGTTTGCTATGTTCTCTTGAAACTCTTGTTTTCGAAAAATCAAGAGTTTTAAGTCCTCTACTACTAGTATGTTACCTGGTCCTGGTTGGTCCTGGTACTGGTTGGTCCTGGTCCTGATGGGATCTGGTCGTGGTCGTCCTGGTCCTTGTCCTCTGCATCCACGCCGTAGGGGGGGGCAACCGCGGGTTGTCTTCTTAATTAAATTGCTACTGATGTATATATATAATATGAAACTTGAACCAGATCAGAGTCATTAGGCTACAACTGTATCAAGCTTGGCTCCGCCCCCTGATGCCATTTTGTACAGCCAAAAGCGCCTCTTCAGGTACCCTAGATGGCTTGAACCTAATGTTTGTTAGTGAACGAAAAAAAAAATATCATACAGTATTGATATAAATAAATATCTATTACGTTATTTTGTTCTAGATGCAAAGCATGCCCAGTCGTGAAGCCAGTCTTCCTATGTGGCTCCGACAACAGAACCTACAGCTCTTTGTGCAGGTTGGACTATCACAACTGTATACATCACACATCTATACGAGTCGTATGCAAAGGCTTCTGTCCATGTAAAGGTGAGGCGAACTGCGATTAATGCCGAGAAATATTGATTAATTTCAAATTTAATCTAACGGTAGTTATTCAACTGATCGATTATGTTCCTACAACTCATTTTCATAGCAAATCCATATGAAGCTTCGACTGTTTCAAAATGTTTGCTGAAATACCAGTGGTATCATTGATTAATGCATTCTTATGGCACTTCTGAATCGACAGTAGATTTTCTGCATCATCTAGATGCAAGTAGCAAATCACTGAAATATTTTTAGAATGACCTGCACAGGTATTACGTATCTTGAAAAGTGACATTAAATTGATTTCACATATCATAGTTTTTTGAGACATAACGTAAGTTTTTCTACAAGATGATAACTTAGCACTAGCTGATCGACACTTGCTGTGAAGTCGTTTTTTGGCTGTACGTGTTGCCTAAACGTCATGATGCTTCAGTTATCAATGTTTGGCTCTGATGTGATGTAACATCTGCTTCAGAGATGGAATTATTGGAGGTCTAAGCTGTAAGTAAACGTGAAAAGGTTATTACATTATTTTTTATTTCCAGTCATTTAAATTTTATGGAAATTTATTTTGCGATGTCAATAGAAAATACAAGTCAGCGCCTAGATGTGAGGCACCGTGAAAATGTGTGATGTGTGATGCGTCATTCCTAATTTTTCTGTGATGTGACTTAATTGCCAATAACGCGGGTTCGATGCTGAATTCCCGTAATGGTCCTCAAAGTTTTTGAAAACACAAAAAAAAAACGGGAAAAATCGAAATTTATAACTTTGAACCTTCAGAAAGGACAAAATATAAATAACCTGTCGGGCACAGCTGATAGATATACCTTATTGGCAGTATATTCAGTAATATTTTTTTCACATATCAGATGATTTTATACAAATGCAGACCAATACACACCATAATTCAGATGCGATCTTGCTACTCAAGCAACTTCCTTTCTTTCTTTCACATCTTCTCAGAGATAAACACTACTACAATGCATGCTTGAGCGTGTCGTGTCATTGAACCGTTCCTCCATAGATAGCCGCTTACAGCGATCATAGCGAGCAAACGTGGAATGAACTATCTGCACACTAAAAACTACTTAGTTTGCAAGATCACATTTTGTCGGTTTTATTGACGTTTTTAAGGTTTTTTTACATAATACCCCTGCCGACTACATAACCTAGATATCTTTGACATTTGCGATATATGTTCGTATGTTGATGACAAGTTGCCAAACGATCGAAGTCAGTACTTGCTGTTTGTTTTCAAAAATGATATTTGATACTTTTTTATAGATGCGGACTGACATACCGTGTGGTATATAATTTGGCATGGTATCGAATGTGTGTTCTTCTAGGGTTGGCAGTGCTGGCATATCCTACCCTTGTCTTTGTCTAGCCACTTGACAAAACACAAAGTAGTTGGCTTTGATGCGGCAAGCAAAATATCTTAGATGATCACCATTAATAGTTATTGGTTTATTACCATTGACAGTGTTTACGATAAGTATATTCCATTCTAACGAAATGGCGTTAAGTAGGTTGACCGATCACTTCACACAGTTCACAAAAGATTATGTTCTGTACAAGTTAGCCTTAGCCACGAAAATTTTATATCAAAATTACTCCATAGTCCCCATCCATTTGACAATGTTGAGGTCAGAGGTTTATCTCTTGCCCTACCGAGTGTACAGACTATCTGGCAACGTTGCCAACCATCCATCGGTCCAACTCGACGCAGGTGTATCCAGAGACGCGTGTGTTGAAAGTGTGTCTCTATGGTTGTAAGTTTTAAACCCCATAAAAAATGTGATATAACCTACAACCCCCAATTTTTTTCCTGAAAATGATCAGGAGGCCCTGCAACGTCAAAAGAGCAGCTTTTTCATTCATGTTATAGTAGCAACCTTTTGTCAAAATATTTCGCGATTGCAATACCTCCTCGCCAGTGAAGTGTGAACTAAAACACATATTCATGTTAAAGTTAAAGTAGTAAAAACTAATCCTATAGGAATTCCATACTCAATTGATGTAGGTATAGCGGTATGGCTATTCTACTTGATGGATCGTAAATCTCAACTACGGCGTTGTTGCTTTCGTTACCATAACCGGAATACATTTTATTGAAGAAGATCGTTAGGTTGAATACGTATCTTGCTAGCGCATTCTGCTTCAAAGGATTCGCTTTGTTTCATGGGATACTACATAACATTGGTTGGATATTTACATATGTGCATATACGAGATGCTAGTTGTTAGCCCGAAGCTAGTACTTTGTAGCGCTTTTGTCTCGCTCTACGTTTAACAAATGCATTTTTTTATTCATTCGCCACGTAGTTTGCAAGCCGAGCAGATTGTGACCGAATTTATATGTTATTATGTGTTAGCGAAGCCTGAATCAAACTGCGCTAATGATATAGGCGAAAATCCATATGTACTAGTTTGGCAATTGAAACAACTGCAGTTAACTACCTAGTAGTCGTCGCACAAACTGAAGAATACACGTTTTGCTGAAAGATCTGCTGGCTGTATGCATGAGCATCTATAAGGGGAGCAAAGGGATAATGGACCCACCAAAGGGCCTTGTGAACTCATGATAGGAAAATAAAGCAAAACTGTTCAGGAAAACTATCAACAAAAATCCATTGAGTTGTAGAAGACTTTTTGGAAATATTTGTACATATAATGCCTGCTGGCGTGGCCAACAAGTGGTGCACGATCTCTACCAAACGCATGGGTTGTTCAGCCTATTCATTGATGATATTGCTTGATAAATAATCTATTGATGAGCTTGACAATGGTGAAAACTGATTTTTTGGTTTCTAAAATCGGTTTCATACGTGAATATTATCAAACACATCAGTATTCCTGCTGCAATGTATTTCAACTTTGACTTGAAACCCGTTGATTTCGTGAAATTTCTGAACTCTATAATAAGGTCGTTAAACTCAAAACTAGATTGAAACTCGTCCATTTTCAGAAGTCTTTATCTTAAGACCACTTTTACTTAAAAGCATTTGTACTTGAAGTTTGGAGAATAATTATTTCTTAATACAAATAGAGATCAGTCTATTGCTTCTGTGTTTCTTGTCTTTATAGAACCAAATAGGTCACAAGAAAAACGTGTGGGATGACGGGATAGTTGATCGGGCAAACATGATCTGATAGCGATACTAATACATTACAGTCAACGTAAGTAGGTTGGCTGTTTAAGATTGCTATAAAAGATGCTACTAGAGCAACACTCAGGGATACATTTTCTCCCCAACCATGGTCGGAACAACTGCACCCAACCCATCTAGTAGCAGCAAAATTGGGCTGGATTTGGTCCATACTTGGCTTCGATTTCCAGCGGCCAAATGGGACAGAAGCTGTGGACTTATCGCCTTGCTTGTTAGATACTGCAAAACTAGATGATTAACCTTACCCAAGTTTTAGAGAGTCAAATTTCTTCCTATCATTGTTTTCCTTGCTTTAAAATGTAGAAAAACATCAATACGTCGGAATCCACGGGCTTATCTACTTCCAAGTCAAATATTCCCAAAAACAAGCATTCTAAGATAACGTTTTATTGTCCCTTAAGTTTCAGATCATCAGTTTTTCCAACGTTTGTTTGTTGTTCCTGTTGAAATAACACAGCTCACAGCGCCGTATATTACCAGAATCGGCCACTGTGAGAGCAGCTATCGGTTGGAACTGTAAAGATGTCGAATTCGATAGCCCAATCACCATTGTGACAGCTAGAGGCTGACAATTCTAGCGGCACAGTGCACTAGACTTAAGTATAAAAGTTGATATAAACATGAAAGATTATGCCCATTTTAGCCCAAGTTAGCATAAACTGGTGGATAATTATGAATTCCAGTGGTATCTCCGGGGATAGACTCACTGATAATATTGAACAATAATTTAAGACACAGACATTTTAAAATTATATATTTTTTTCTTTGAATAGCTAATGATACACCTTTGTTCGCTTAGTATCACTTCGTATCTCCGTTCTCGAGGAAAAAATAAAAACAAACTTCATTACATGTCAAAAAATTATTCAAATAGAGCATAAGCCTGCGTAGAACGGGTAGGTGGTTATTTCCAACATTTTTTTGTAAATATCTCTTTTGTTACCTTCCGCTCCTGACATTTTAAAAATGATGATAAATAAATATTGTGCATCGATTAAATTGAATTAATGTTATCTTAACTATTTTTTGACATGTAATGAAGTTGTTGTTTTCTTCATCGAAAATGAAGTAAGATACAGAGAAATAACAACAGCCAAAAAATTTGTATCTGCTCAATTCTGAATAAATATATTTTTTCTCATTGGCGTATTTTTTTGTCTATGCTATTTGTCAGATTGTTCCCCGAGACGCCACTGGTATCCATAACTATAGTTAGTGCGCCTTACTGCAATGCATAACACTGCCAAAATTCAACAAAATTGGTACAAGGATCTTTGGGATATTAAAAAAACATTTTTTCAAACTGTGACACCCTCTATCTTGGAGCCAGGCCTTTTAGGACACAATGTTTATATGAACTTTTCTGCTTAAGTTTGGTTCAGGAATGCGCCCTTGTAATTACAACATATCATTAAGTAACACCCTGTATAGAATTCAGAATGCGTAGGTTTCGTAATTGTAACACCCTTTGTTTGCGTAAATATTGAAGTTTATAATTCAAAGTTATACTTCCTCATTTACGTGTATCTATACCAGGGTTATGCTTCATGAATAAATAAATATGCTAGTGAATATTTGAAATTATCTGCTTCTCAATTTATGTGGCTTGCACTATAAAATTCGAACACAGAAAGTTTAATGCGATACATAGCAAAAGTTCACTTATATTCATGTTTGTGCAGTCATATTTTATTCAGATTAGCTCGCTAGTAAAAGCTTAATGCAGATGCAACTCATAAACATGATACTCACTAGGTAAAGTTGAAATTGGCTTTTTGGTGGGAAAATTTAATATTTATCAAGACGTATATGCTTCCCGAAATATTATGAACATATGTGTTTTCAAGACAAGAATTCAAAGACAACTCATTTAATCATTCCGAAATTATTTAGTCTTAGGATTAGCAAACTGCCGCAAGATGCGTAGGATTCAAATACTATATATATATATGTTTGTAATGGTCCTTATTACTTATGATGAAATGTTGGGCAATTCTGGGTTTTGCTTCTTGCTGAAAAACATGGTATTCGTTATTTATGATTTTATTCCTAGCCCCAACATGTTACTACAAGTTCATCAGCGTTTGCAGTTGTTCTTTCGTTTCAGGAAGTATCGGGAGTATCTTCTGCGTATTAATCAGAATTCCATTGACCTACACCTTCCGTTATTTGATCTAATGATAGTTGAACAATATTTTGAGCAATTATTTTGAGTATGGGAAATACACACATCTCTGACAAACACCTAGCGATATCCACAAAATCAATTTTTTGCCAGTGCTTCCAGGTTGTGTAAATGCCGTAACAAATTTATAACTTCTTGACTAGCCTTGGTTACTGATAGCAAGTTCCTATTTTCCAGACAATAACGATGACCGCATCCGCAAGAAGCAACGACAAGCGGACAAGCTGAACCAGTTCATGAACAAGTACAAAGCCACGTTGGACAAAACGGGCACCGGATTAGGTAGTTCCATCAATGGTGTTGCTAAACCACCTTCCAGGCCATCTCTCGCCATATCTAAAGCGGACCAACTGTACACATTCACGCCACAAGATTTCAAGTACGACAACAAGCATTACAAGTACATCAAGTATACGAAGTACAACAACGATAAGGTGATTGTTTGCACTATCAGGAATATAGTACCTATCACGTAAGCTTTAAGTTGCAATGAGGTTTTATTTACATTTTGAGTTTTTCTATGATTTTCAAAATCTACAAGTAAGAAGAGACACATCTCAAGTATTTTTATACTATACAAAAAAGTTGGGAAAACTCGAAACTGAAGATACTACAGACCAAAATATGTGAATTGACCTAAACATAGCTTAGTCCAAAAGTTGATAGTTTGCGAGATACAGGGTGTCAAAGTTACAATTTTATTTTCTATGATACCTTATTGCTTGAGAAGTATTTCGGATTTTGGCATAAAACTCGATATAGTGAGGTTTTCTAGTATGAGAAACAAGAACTCGTTATTTTTTATGGCCAAACTTCTAAAGGGCGCCACTTATAGCACTATTTCGTTAAATAACTTATCATAACTTCTTTGTGCTACCCTGTATACAACAATGCATTATTTGTACCATGATGATAAACCATTTTTATAACATGATAATCAAGTTGCTTTGGGTAATATCTGACTAGAGATGCTATGGTTTCTAATGTTTGCCATAATATTGCTTTAAACTTCATGAATATGTATTTAATGTACGGATTGGCAAGATGTAATGCTTTAAAAGCATGAATATTGTTACGCTGACAGATTCCCTACTACACACCTGCCTAATTCAAAGACTTACCAACGAATCGATCAGCGGTTACGAGAAACTGGTGAGAAATGATTATAGCCTTATTTTGAGTAGTAAAAACCATTTGGATTTTAGGTAGTTTCGCTCAAAATATGGGCGAACTTAGTGGAGCTCCCAGAACTGTAAGTACAGCTGAAATTGAAGAAAATGTTTTAGATGCTGACTTTGAACATCCTGCAGATGGTGTTAGGAATGTAGCTTGAGAATTTCAAGTTTCCAATTTTTTTTTTATACTCCAACTACCACGAAGGCCTAAGGCCTAAGCACCCATTGGGTACCGTGGGGCTATAGGGGGATACATGGAAAGGGGGGACGCCACACGGACTCTGGCGAGGGAACACGTGTGCATGCAACATGCACACATTCTGGCTCCGCCTACGAGATCCGCCGGATGGTACTTCCGCGTTCGACAGTCAGAGACCATCTACCACCTACGGACAATCACAACATCCATAGCCAAGAGAAAAATTTCTCCTGGGACGGGACTCGAACCCGCACAGCGCACGGCGACTGATCAGGAGACCGAAGAGTCTACTACTGCGGCCACCGCTGCTGCCTAAATGTACAGTAAATACCATTTTCAAGAGCACTGATTCATCCACACCACCTGCGAAAAGTACATGGTTTAAGCGCGGATGATGACCCCGCAAAGACTTACCAATGAATCGATCAGCAGTTACGAGAAACTGGTGAGAAATGATTATAGCCTTATTTTGAGTAGTAAAAACCATTTGGATTTTAGGCAGTGGAAACTGTAGATGATCTTCGACAAAGAATTTTCCACCATAGCCAGGAAATGAAAAATAACATCCAAATGCTTTGGAGAGTGCAGCAAGGATTATTTCGTCGAGCTCGAGAGTGTGTTAGGCAAGATGGTGCCGATTTTGAACAATTTATAGTTTTGTTGCCATCCTCATTTGTTATTGTTAAAAACCATAGCAACGCTACTCAGGTATTATCCAAAGCAACTTGATTATAATGTTATACGAATGTTTTATCATCATGGTTCAAATAATCCATTGGTACTTTTAAAAACAAATATCTCGAAAACTATTAGCTTTAGACACTGCCAACAAGTAAGTCTTTTCTGTTGTGGAAATACGAGAAAATAAGATTTTTCGGTCAGTTGTTGTATACAGGGTATCACAAAAAAGTTATGATAAGTTATTTACCGAAATAGTGCTATAAGTGGCGCCCTCTAGAAGTTTGGCCATAAAAAATAACGGATTCTTGTTTCTCCTACTATAAAATCTCCCTATACCGAGTTTTATGCCAAAATCTGAAATACTTCTCGAGCAATAAGGAAAAATAGAAAATAAAATTGTAACTTTGACATCCTGTATCTCGCAAACTATCAACTTTTGGACTAGGGTATGTTTAGGTCAATTCACATATTTTGGTCTGTAGTATCTCCAGTTTCGAGATTTGCCAACCTTTGGCAGACGGACGACCTTTTCTCTTTTCTAAATGCAAATGCAACAATGATAATGTAAAGTGAAATGTCCATTTTGATATTTTATTTTCCTTCTTTGTTATCTAGCAATAACAACGTTTTTAAATGAAATAGAGAATATTGTGAAAATAAAATGCAACGAAGAACTAACATTTTACAAATTTCACAGGAGAGCTAGAAAACGAAAATCAGCGATAAATAAAATTAAAAATGACATACTGATTTTTTAGTCTGCACGTTGCTGTTTTTTTGTAAGACTAAAATTATGTAGAACTTTGTTTTGGGATGGTTTAATTTTGTAAAAGTAAAATGAGTATTACATATTTTTTTGTAGATTTACGCCACTTTGTGACGACTCTTGTTTCTTTTATTGTGTAGTTACGCCAACGATTTAAAACTGGACATGGGTATCAAAGTATCGAAAATACTGTATCAAAAATAAAAATTGTTTTATTCTCTACATAATATTATAAGTAAATGACAAGAAAAATAAGTTTAAGTCATCGTTCACAACAACACAACAATATTCATAGGTTATGCTTACATATTATTAGAGACATGCATCGGTAAACCTTATTCCACGAGTATCCATCATGCTATGAGGTGAACAGCTGATATCAGGATTAAATTTTTAAGTGGATGGGAAATATGACAATCAAGTGTACCAGTACTGATATTGAGAAGTTATTAGAAAATTATTATAGCACATCTGGGATTTATTGATTACATGGTATGTCAATAGAACAGGTAGCGTAGTCCTTTCCAGAAGATTTAAATTTACCTGTAAAAATAATATAGACACGTGTTTCCGGTCTATTGTCCGTCATCAGTGTAACGTAATACATTTAAGCAAACTTACGAAAACGACCCACCACCATGCCATATTATTGTGATACATCAAATGCATCATACCACTCAAATAGCAAAATAAAAATAAAACATACTTCTTGGAATTTCCCATTTCCTCGATATGTAATGATGGCACAGTATCAATTTGCTGGCTTGGTATATCCTTATGAATATCTTACTCTCTTTGGAAAAATTATAAACTACGTTTGCGTTTCCTTTGTATTTTTTGCAGAGTCCTGAACAGTTGGCCCATGCCTGTATTCACGAACACTGCATTGTCCCAGCTGTGTACATTTCATGACTTCCTGCAATAGTTACTTACATTTTTCTATTTTATTACTTGTTAGATTTACCTGAGTAATGTTCAGACCTAATTGAGGGAATCGAACCTCTATCAACTCGGTCATATACTGCCACACATTCTGAACTAAATGTATAGCTGTTTCATTGCCCTTTAAGATCATATGGTGTTTCAAGTTCTAAAAAGTAGATATAATCAATATAGTCAAAAAATGTTTATCTCATTTTATTCCTCCCTGACTTGAAATGTAGTTATGGTCATTAGCAGTCATTGTGCTTGTAGCCTTTCTTTCGTATGCAAAGAAACGTTTTTAAATAAAAGAGTTGTTATCAAGTACAAAAAGAATCTGTAGCGTACAAAGAACCACAACAAAATACGGACCTGTCTACCTGGAGTTCACCGATCCCTCGGAATTAAATATGTGCCCTGTGCCGATATGAGAAATTTTGAAATATTACTAGATAACTTGGTATCATTGTTTCGTGATGGATACTCGTGAAATAGGGTGTACGTGCTATCTAATTATCGGTCAAATACAGAATACCAGTTTTAACGCAGAGGCGTAAATCTATTTAAGCCGGTACGTGAAAATTGTTTTCGGAACTTTATCACTTACGCAAATTTTTAAGAATTTTATTTCCAAGCAGCGAAGTGATATACAGTAACGTCACTTCGTAAGGTGAGAGACTAGAAAAAAATATGTGAAATTACGGCGTAAATCGATTTTTGTTACCTATACGTGCTGAGACGGACGATATAGGCAAAAACATAAGCCTTTATATACTTTTTAAAAGTTTGAATGTTCTGAAGCATTAACACCAATTACAACCATAAAAGAGCAAAAAATGTTTTTTTCACATGCCAGCTGCTAGAGACACATCTTGCTTGAAGTCAACATTACCAGATAAAGAGTTATACAATGTTAACAAAAATGCTCACTGTTTATAAAAAAAATCAATTTGGTGACATATTCCGTGAAATTAATTGCAGGAGCTGAGTAGTAACTCGATCTACTCAGACGACAAGGAGAGAGTCCGCGGTTACAACGAGGTACTGGATGACGACAAAACCAGCTTCGGAGGAGCAGCGTCAGCTTCGTCGTATCCCCAAAAGCAGTGCTCTCCAGCAGCACTTCAAGCCATGGGCAACCGGCTGCTGGATTGGTTCTCCGTCGTCATGGCCGACTCCGCCAAGAGGAAACGCTTTAAGACTAAATCTAAAGGTCAGTTGGTTCGTTGAATGAATGGATTTGAAGTCCTTCTTGAAAGGTCTTTTTGAAAATCGAAGTGAATTATGATTACTTAATATTGTAGGGTGCGCGAAACAACGAATCCCCTTTATAATGCATTTGGCGGTCGCGTGTAGGCTTAGAAAACGCAACTCATGCTTATCTAAACCTCACACAACACAGCGCGAGATGTTTAAATTCGCTCGCTTCTATTAGTCAGGGGTCAATAAATGCCCGGGCGTGGCAGCAACGTGGAAATCGAAGCGGCGATAGAGTACTCGTTTTTTCTTTAACGCAAAGTAAATGAAGTTTGTATACATTATAGCATATTCGCGAAACAATGTGAGACTCAGGGAGGTGAAACGTCTCATGCGCGAACTGGCAACACCAAGGTCATCCTTTCCAGGCAAAATCGGGGAACATGCATTACGTGCATTACCGACATAACTTGACGTGCTGCTTGCCGGGATTCTCTATCTTTATCTAAATATAAAAATATTAAATATGGCGTTTCTTTTGGATAATATCGAGATTATCAATGATGATGTTTTGGGAAATATTTCGTTAAAAATGCATATAAAATATAAAGCTGTTTGTTTACACAGCTGAGATGGTATACGTGAGTTGTATTGCGACTATTGTGGAAGATACAGAAGTTCAGGAGACTCTGTAATAAGTCATAAAGTGCTACAGGTAGGCTGTGAAAACATATCGGCATGATGTAGTTAGTAGATTATTTAAAATTGCATGTCTGGATTTATCCTCTTTATACTCCTTGTAGTTGGCACCATTATAAAAAGTACGAAAGTTTTTTTTTTTGGTATTAAATGAGATATGGTAATATCGGCAGAGTACAGTCATAAAGCTCTAATCTTTATAAGGCAAAATTCTGCCCGTCTTAGCCCACAAATTAAAGACATAGTACTGAGCAAACTAATTAAAAGTGACTAGGTTATTTACAAAGAATTATGAATTACATTGGTGTTTTCTGTATTGTTTCAGAATTTTCAAGAAACAATTCAATGAAGCAAGATACCTGTGTTTCGCAACACACAACATAAATTTGGAATACATCTATCTATATTTTCATGTATTACAATTTTTATACCGTTGTCAACAGCATATGATTATTTTTTGAAAGTACTGTTGGATTTTATTATTCTGAACCTTGTTCTGTCAGCAAAACTGCTGAAATAGAAATTACCCTTGTTGGGGATATTTTATGAATATATGTTCATAAAATAATCCTTCAATATCGGTAATATCATTTTCAGCAGATTTCAAATTAGGAACAAACGAAACTCCTGGCAAATTCCTAGCATTCCTTATTCCAGTTGAATTCTTGGCTTTCTTTGGATAGTTCCTCCAGATCTCCAGGCAAGTAGGCGGCGAAACCATCTGACAAACGTCAGCGGTGTTGCCATCGTTTAACGTGGAGCTCCCACTTCTTCAGTTTTATGTGTTTTGTGGTCAGACTAGAAGTCATATCAAAGTTAAAGGGTTACGATCGGACGATACAAGCAGTTGCAATTGAAAGGTTCGGTGCAAAAACCGGTCAACTCCATTTTTCCCCAAATTCAGTTTTTATATGCATCATATAGGGCAAATTAATGTTTGCACATGTTTTGGTGCAAGAATCAGCCAAAAAATATTTTGTTATCAATTTGGTATTAAACTATTCTCCAATACCATTATATAATTGGTATTTTTTTCGATAGAACAAACAATATTGGAAAGTTTCTATTGATTTTCCACAAATTATAAAACATGAAGTTGACCAGTTTTTGCACCGAATCCTTCAATTAGACTGCCAACCACGCCGGCTTAACTCTAAGAATGTTAGAGGCAGGCAAGTGTTAGACGATTTGACGGTTTTAGACGTATTCCTAATTCCTAGACCTTGGACAATAACGGTGAAATGCCGTGATTGGCCAAAACGTGCTTAGATGTATTGTACTACTTTAGCCATATTGTACTTCGATGTATTGTACATAACTGTTCTGACGTGTGTTGCTGCATCGCGAACAATGTATTTACCTATACTATCTACCGTATGTACACCTTTAAACGTGAAATATGTATGACATGATTGTTTTTCCTTTGAGTACTTGTGATTTTTGAACCCAACCCATACCCCAGACCACCAAACAAGAGCACAACAGCCCACCAGCCCTACAATATGTATGAGGAAACGGACGTTGCATTGACCCTTGATGCTTCGTATCACTAGTAAACAGTTGAGAAATTTAATTTATGTATAGGGTGATAAAGTAATCAGCCTATAAATAAGTTCTTATCCCGGCGTCTGATATATGCTTTCAATTTCTTCGGATTCTTGTGACATATAGGTCTTAAAAAGTGCCTGTCTTCAAATTGCCATATTTCGGTGTTTATTTTCGCCTTCTACAGGGACTCTGTAAAACTGAAGACGTAAGAGCATGAAAATACCTTCAATTTTATTTTTTAAGCATTAAAATCGATAAACAATTAAGCTATAATTAGCCATATCGAATAAATGTTCATAACTATTGTAATAACAATTGTAAATGGCTTGTGAGAATGAGGGCTTTATTGGTGTTAATATGTGTGCTAAATTACTGCCGGATCGGTTTAACAGTTTATGTAAAAAGCTAGTTGCTTATCCCAGAAACGAATTATTTAAGCAACTGTTCTTGCTCAAGACATGGTCCTAGAATATTCTACAAAAGTGAAATGGATTCTTGAAGGTTTCAACTGCAAGAGATTATGCAAAAAATTAATTATTTATTTCAAAATTGTTGTTAAAAATGATGTTAAAAAATAGCGATTTTTATAGTTATAAACATCTACAGTAACCCCGTTATTTTTCACTATAATTTATTTTAACAAGTTGATCTGGAAAGGTGGTTGAAAAGCGCATGTTTTAAAAAACCTTATACGACCTATAGGAGCCAAGATGTGGGTTTTTTTTTTAATTCATATCTCCTTTATAAACATTTAAACTGGAAATTTTCACAGATATCAATCAAGGATCTTAATTTTATGATCTAATTTATACATTTACTATTAGTTCGAAGGTCTTTACGAAATAGCCACCTAAAGTGAAGATACCCGCGTAAGTATTTCCAGGTGAGGTGGTGGGGGAATCAGCTCTAGCTCGATTTATTTTTTTAAATTGAGTCTTCAATTCGAGCGCGCTGTAAAAGTTTGCATTATCTGGGCTTCTAAGCAACGTAGAACCTAACTCATCGAAATAATGACATTTAGCACATTTCCTGGAAAATCGGGAAATCCCTGAAAAGTTAACACGTTGTATTTTTCAGAATTAAATTACTATGAAATAATAATAAATTAACAATAAAACTGTGTAAACAATTCATAATTCAGTTAATTGTTGTACTCTTAACAAAATATACTCTAATAAATTGTAAAAATATTGATTAAAGTTTTTCTTACATTTACATTTATTTTATTTGCATTCCTTGTGTTATAATAATATTAGGTAATGCATTTTTTTATTATAATATTTTATTATATAATTAATCTCGATCCTCCGTTCTAAATCTTTTATTTGAACGCTCTACTTCTTTAATATTTCTTCGATTTTCTCAGTCTGCTCTTCATCATCGTTAATTCCAGTTGCAGCAGGGGTGTAGCATCTTGTGTCATCATCACCATCATATGAATTTAAAAACATGCGTTCTTTAACCACCTATCCAGATCATCTTATTAAAATAAATTATATTGAAAAAGAACGGCGTTATTGTAAATGTTTATAACTATAAAAATGACTATTTTTTAACATAATTTTTCAAATAATAATAAAATATCAAATAAACATAAATTCTTGAAGTTAAAATCTTCAAATATCCATTTCACTTTTGTAAAATGTTGTAGTACCATATCTTGGGCAAGAACAGTTGTTTAAATAATTCCTCTGGGATAAACAATTAGCTTTTTACATAAACTATTAAAACGATCCAGCTGAAATTTAGCACACTTATTAAGACCAATGGCGTCCTCATTCTCACAAATTTAGCCATTTACAATTATTATTGCAGTAGTTATACCCATTTACTCAATATTGCTAAAAAGTTATTTATATCATTATTTGCTATTAGTATTTAGCTTAATTGTTTACCGATTTTAATTCTTAAAAAACAAAATTGAAGGTATGCTCTGAAGTCTTCGGTTTATCGATTATTTATAAAATCTTATTGGAAAATTATAAAAGCAAAAAACTGGATTTTGGGATTTTCCCATTGGTTATAAAAAATAACGCAAATCTGACTGAATCTTTTGATATATTTGTCATTAGAGATATCCCCCCTTCCATTTCAAACTTTCAGATATCTGCAAAAAAATTTTTTACTTTTTTTATCTAGCCTGGACTAAATATGATTGCGGAAGAATAAGAAACAATGCCAGGACGACAATCGATATTGAAGAAAATATATAATATTCACATTTTTGGAAAAATAGACAATCACTTTTCAATGAATTTTAGCCAAATTAGACCCAATTTATAAGAGTTATGATCATGAACAGAAAATATCCATATTTACTTATAGAAACATAATACTTGACATCAACATTCAATATGTATGAGGTCAGAAACTGTAAAAACGATGGAAAAACATGTCTATTCCTAAAAAGAAAATTTAATACGTCGTGATTAAGAACTGTCTTTAAGGTTTTTGGAAAATCTTTAACACTTCTCAATTAACAAAGTTTGGGGACGATCTAAAATGTTTTAACCCCATAACTTTCTTTATAAATTTCATCAAAATGGATGTTGGTGTTTCCGAGATTGTACGGTTAGAAAAATGCCAACAAACAGACGGATAGACCAGACGGTGTAAATAAGTCAAATCAAAGTGATATAATCATACCATATTACCATATGAAACAAATCTTCATATAAAAAATGTGCTGTTGCTTATGCGTGTGTAATAAACAATCAAAATAGCTAATAAGCAATGTTACGATGCGAGTTGAGACTTCAGGACACTACATCATATTCTGCATTACTTGTACAAGCAGAAACCCTCAATTTTAGCTTTTCCCTGAAAATCATATGTACTTGTAGCCTATCCCAAATTGTCCTACATTTTTGCTGGAAGAGCATATTAGACAGCAAATTCTTTAATATATATTATAATCATTACCTACTGTTTCAGCAGTCCACTGGACCAGCAGCTGCAAGAAACCAGAAGTGAAATGGATGTTCCAACACCTGGACGCTAACGGCGACGGCCGCCTCTCGCTACAAGAACTGTATGACCTGGAGCACGATCAGCGCGAGGCATGTCTGAAACCATTCCTGCAACGATGCGACGTGGATCGGGATGTGTTCGTCTCAGCCCTCGAATGGTGCAAGTGCTTCTCTAGGAGCGAACGCCCGTGCGCGGCGGTCAGTCGCAAAATTATCCATGCGGCTGGAGATTCGCAATTAGGTAGTTTTTTTTAAAAAGAATCAGTTTTTACAAAAAAAGTTAACTTAAGTTCTCAAATTTGTGATTTGAACACTGGCTGTAAAGTGCATTTATTAACAGTAATAAATTCAGGTGACAAGTTTTTTACAAAATTTTCTAATCAATGTTATATATCATTATTGCGTCATTAAGGCCCGATTTTTCTATGCTGGGGCGTAAAAAAGCTCTTGGGTCACAAATTCAGTCAATGGGAAGGCGTCTCTTTGAAGTATCGCAATCAATCAATATGATCGATTTCTTGCAAAATGTCTCTCAAACTAGAAAATAATTATACGGTTTGTGAAAGATGGGCGCCTAATTCCCATATCAAATCAAGAAAAACTTCAAATATCACACACAAAAAAATATTTCTTCAATGTCACTTGGTTGGTTTTTGGGTAGTTAGACCGTCGTAAAATATTTTTACTTGATGTTTCGCCAACACGAGTGGTTGGCATCTTCAGAAGGAGTTCACAGTTCGAAGTCCTGTGAGCTACTGATCTTTGTCATAGTCATAGATTCGTGGAGTTAGTGCTTCACTTCACTGCACACCTTTTTCTTAATTTAATCTTGAAGGCTCGACTTTTCATTCCAGTGATTTTGTTGTTCTGACAGGGCATTGCGTTGGGTCTCTGGTTAGCTGTTTGTAGGTGCTCGGATCTAAGAGGTCATTGATTTTGGATTTATAATCGTCGGTGTCCATGACCACGGTGGCATTCCCTTTGTCCGCCGGCAAAACCAGAACGTTCTCGTCTCTGTTCAGATCTCTTATTGCTCTTAATTCTTTCGACTTTAGGTGGCTTAGCTTTCTGTAGAATTCTGGCTGCTTCACTACGGATCCCCTGAGCCCGGTCTTCTGGTAATACCCTTAATGTTGATTCCAGATTTGCGATAATGTCTTCTGTTGGCACTTGCTTCGGAATTATTGCGAATTTTCCTCCTTTGGCGAGTACGGACACTTCCTCTGGTGACAAATTACGGCTACTTAAATTGATGACCGTTCTGTTGGTATCTAGTGTAGGGTTGGACTTTTTGCCTCTAAAGAGATTTTCAAATTTCCTCTTTTGACGTTCCGTATTTCTCTGGAGTTCATTTTCCATGCTCTTGTACGAGATGGATTGTATCTTGTCCCAGTCTGCACGGTGAAGACAGTTACTTAGATGGTAAAAAATTAGCAGTAGCTCACATGACTCCGAACTGTGAACACCTTCTGAAGATGCCAACCACTCGTGTTGGCGAAACGTCAAGTAAAAATATTTTACGACGGCCTAACTACAAAAAACCAACCAAATAACATTGGATGAAGGCCGCGAAAGCCTTTCGCATTCTATTTTTTCATTTGCGTCCCGACACTAAAATAGCACCAATGAAAAAATAACATTTGCGCCATACTCGAAGGGTGGACACAAATCTGATACAATATATAGGTTGATACGACAGCATTTAAATGAGCATTTTATTGAAAATAACAGTATACAAAATTCTGCCTGATAAATTCATTGAGGACATAAATAAAATTACAGAATGCTTATTCTTTGAAAAACATTGAGTAAATAATCTATCGTGCGAAAACCCACGTTCTTTAAGCCAGTCCTGTTATGAGTTTGAGCGTTTTTTTTTTCGTTTTTCCCCCAGCTCCTCCGTTACGAGACCTATTTTCAAAACCTATACAGTTTTTTCGTCCTTAGCGTAATTGTAACCTTATGTAAAAATTTCATCAAAATGCGAGCGGTGTTCTCCGAATTATAGAGGTTTCAAGAATTAGCGGACAGGGAGACCGATAGGCAAAGAGACCAACGGAAGTGAGTGAAATGATTTTTCGTGAAGTCATAAAACATCCAAAAACATCTCTCGTTATCGAAATTTTTCACGATTGCAATACTTCCTCACCAGTGGTGTAGGAAGTAATTAATGCTGGGAGTACATATTTTCCATACAGAAACATTGCTTTAAGAAAAATGCATGTCATACTTTTCATACGCCATTTTTGGGCTAACTTGACCAAATTAACAGTTCCTACCATTACAAGTAACAGCAACATTTGCGATGACTAAACAACAGCGCAGCACACATATTCTTATTATTTCTTTCTTTGCATTTAGCTCCGCCACCACTGGACCAACTTTCAGAAACCTTTTATGAAGTGTTTATCAAAATTAACGGCCAGACAGACAGACCAATAGACTGACAGATCAATGGAAATGAGTGACCTGGTTTTTGTTGATGTGCATGTCATATTTATAAGATAAAAAAAAACATAAACTCATTTTTCACGATTACCATGCTTCCTCGCCAAAGACCTGGCAGTAAAGGAAGATGTATCAGAAAGATAACAACATAAGTTTGTGAAGCTATATTATACATGCCACAACCACAGACCTTGTTGTGGTAGTCTAATCATATTAGCAAATTTCCCTGAAATTATTGCAAAGCCTGGTTTTATTGATGCAAACAACATGGACGCATAAAATGGGTACACCAATTTTTGTGGAAAAACTTTTTATTTGACAACAAAGAATGAGAAAACGGGTTTTTTGGGATTCAATCGAAAGTGTTGACAGGAACGAAAAAACTTTTCATATAAGATTTTTAGGTATTTATGAGACCTACAAAATGCGACCACACGGAAAAAGATCCGACTAAATGTTATGGCCGAAAAACGAGGCAAAATGCTGGTTTTGGCACTTGTTGCTAATGCGACGATAATTTCACATAACTACTTGAAATTCTTCAAATCCGAGGATTCATACTTCTAAATAGCAACAACAAAATTGGAGTATATTGGTCAAGTAGTTTTTTGAGAATTTCTAATTGTTTATCCCAAAACACCTGTTTGCGGGCCATCACTACTAGTTTACGAAGCAATATACAGGGTTCGTTCAAAGAGCATTTAATAGCAAAATATACTAGTTTACCTTGCCGATATGAATCGCAAACCGTGACAAAGATAAATGTTATTTTTATGCGAAAAACAAAGGTTACGTTTTTTTTCTTCTAAAAAAATCCAAACATTTGGTATTTGTGAGTAATTGAACAAATGCGCTACGATATTTGAAAAACATACCTTACTATACACATTTTAAAATAAAGGGGGTGTGTCTATCATCTTTTGTTGCGGATTACTCACAAGTACGAAATATTTGAATTTGTTTAGAAGAAAAAACGTAACCCATCCTTTTTTTGCATAAAAATAACATTTTATCTTCCGGAATGGTCTGCGATTCATATCGGCAAGATAAATTAGTATATTTTGCAATAAAATGCCTTTTGAACTAACCCTATATATTTGCGATAAACAAATAGGAATTCTCAAAAATTACTTGATTAATCTACTCCAATTTTGTTGAGGTTATTTAGAACTACGAATACTATGAATTTGAAGAATTTCAAATATCTGCGAGAAACCATCGTCACATTACCAACAAGTGCCAAAACCTGCAGTTTGCCTCAGTTTTCGGTCATAACTTTTTTGCTGTTGGTCAGATCTTTTTATGTGTGGTCTCATTTTGTGGGTCTCATAAATACCTAAAAATCTTACATTAAGAGTTTCTTCGTTCGTGCCAACACTTTCGATTGAATCCAAAAAAACGCGTTTTCTCATTCTTTGTTGTCGAGTAAAACGTTTTCCCACAAAAATTGGTGTACCCATTATATGTGTCTATGTTTTGAATACCCCCGTTGAACAACATGCATTAATAAAACCTTTCGCAAACCAGGGGTATGTTCGTCTAATATTATTAGACTATGGTAAGCACTAATAGATTTAAACAGATAAGCCACAAGCCGACAGCGATTTGACCAGTTTCTAGATTTGACTGCGTCTCGTAATATGGCCATTAGCATATTCTATTCCGTTTAACGGTCTCTTTAGATCATCCAATGACAACAACGCGTTCAGGTGAATGTGATAACTAGTATCACATGTTTTACAGGCAGATAAAGTCTGTGGCACATCTAGGATTTCTTTAGTCAAACCAAACTTTGCATTTTGAAGTTCAGGACCGCGAGAAGCCTGTCACTATATTTTCCCAAAATTATCGTTGATTGAAAACCCCGTTTTTCATATTTTCCACTATTTTACAAACGCCGATTATTTCCTTGCAGGTGTATACATCCCGGACTGTGACAACCAAGGATACTACAAACCTGTCCAGTGCCACAGTGCAATTGGGATGTGCTGGTGTGTTGACAAACATGGAGTTGAATTCGCCAATACACGTTCGCACGCGAAACCTAATTGCGGTAAGCAAATAATTTAAATCTAAAACTAAGATGATAAGACAATCTCAAAATAAGCCATATATTGTCAGACAAAACATCTTATTTTAGAAATAGATTTTATGAGATTACCCTTTTGTATGCATAAAATGAACACTGCTCGTGTAGGTAGTTCTAGTCTCCATTAAAAAATAAAGTATCAGTAGAAATACCATTTTCGGTCTTACCTACATTGTACTATTAGAGAACGCATAAAATTAAAATCAAAATAATGCTTAAATGTTTAGCTTTCCTTCGTTGTTCACAGAGACTAAGCCTAGACCATGCTGAGGAGTTGCCAAGTAGCACAAAACAGCCCATGGTTGGCCGTCTATGTGGTCGGACGAATGAAAACTATTTTTACTAGAAATATTCTTGTCATAAAGATATTCAGTCTAAAAATATCACCTTCTTTCTAAGCCAGTGTTAAAAAACAAGTGATGAAATACACAATTTCTTGCTGGAATCGAACCCATACTTTGGTTTCGCTAGACATTAATAGTGGGAATTTCCGATTTCAGGTCGTCCTTCCTTGAGATCTAAGGATCTTTCGATTAGCACCAATTTCATTTTTTCAAAATGCGCTTTTTAATTATAATTTCTGTTGATCACGTTTTATGTTTACCGAAAGTATAGCTTGTTATATAAACAAGCACATTATAAATAAAATGGACTAGACTACATTCGCAACATCAATTTTGTATAGATATGCAAAACACTTATCATCCCATAAACATTTTAATGGCTCAACAAAAGCTCCATGTAGTGAAAAACTTATCTTATTCCTAGCCTACCACGAACACATTAAGTTTCAGTACGAAGGAATAACTTATTAACATAATTTTTTGACTGACATCTCAACAAAAAACACCCAATGATAATGCTATACTCCATTAGTAGTCCATTTACGCCCAGACAAAACACAACATGCCCAAAAGCAAGATTGTACAGGTCCATATTTTCCTCAATGGTCTTGGAATAATCTAACAAAATAAATGTTAATTTTTTTAGAAAGACGTGCACACACTTTCCACAATTCTTTATTCACTGGAAGTACTTGAATCATCGTCCGAATTGTTAATATTAATTATTACAGGTTCAATTTGGATATATCGATCATATTGTCCAGATCCCACATCTTTGTTTCGATTGTCTCTTGAAGGTGACGGATGCAATCTTTCCAATGGTTTTCCATCACTCTGTTGACATCATCATAAAACAAATTTTTGACGTCAGAAAATTTGAATGTTCTAATGTTTGAAACCACATAGTTTTTTATTTTTGACCAAATCATATCAATAGGATTTAGTTCGCAGTGATAATGCGGTAGCCTTATAACGGTCTTATTTTGGTTTTTAGCCATTTCGTCAATAACATTAAGATTATATTTATATTTTTTATGTCTTTTGATAGGAGCCATTGTTGAATTTCTGCCTTTCTTGTGGACATTGTGGGGATTATTTCTAGTTTTCTTGGGTGGCATGCAGCATTATCAATTACAATGACGGCATTGTTGTCAAGCTTTGGGAGCGTTTCTTCAAACCATCGTTCAAATGAACTCCCGTCCATTTCTTCATGGTAGTCAGTCGTTTTCTTTGACTCAAATGCCCAAAGGGCACTGGGCACAAAGCCATCGTCACTGCCAATGTGACAGATAACAAATCGTTTTTCCTTGAAATAATTATTTCATATAGTATTCAAGAATACTAATAATAATACAAGCAGAGTATCTAACAGGTGTTAGGTTCCAAATCTACCAGATACAGCTAATTTTAGTGTAGCGAAGTTTTCAGCGTGGGATCATAGATTCAGTCTACTTGACACCATTTTTACAACACAAATGACGAATTGGTTAGATACACGTACCTAACGGATTCTTTAGGCCAGTGTTTAGTCTATCTAAGAAGGCTTATCTTGCTGATTTAATTGTAGAGACAACCCATGCATTTATCCAGGTTTCATCCAAGAAATAAATCTTCCTGCCCTGATCGCGGTATTTCTTTATTGATTTTAAATAATTTCTTCTCAATAAAATAATCTCTGTCTGTCTCCAATCTGTCCCGTTTTCTATACTCAAAATATGAGGTTCTTTGAGTAAACTATAGAATGTGGTCCTTTTGAAAGTAGGTGAGTCGTCATCACTATTAACCTCATGTAATACTTTGTCTATGGTGGGAAGTTCCTGCCTTTCAAAAAATTTAAGGACTTTGGGTCTGATGGCATTCCGATCAAAGTTATCAACAACTCTATCCAACAGCTTCGTGTAATGCAGGTTCCTGTGTGGTGGAGACAATTTTTTGTATTTTTTTATATTCTTTAACAATGTTGAAAATTGTCTTAGGACATAAGCCTGTTTTGTTCGCCACACGTCTTTCAATATCATGAATTTTCATTTCAAGAGGTTCTAAAATTTCGCTCTTATAAACGTTAAGGACAATTTCTTTTGCCTGAATATTCAAATGTTTCTTTTTGTCACGTTTTCGGGGAACAGACACTGAAGAGGAAGCATGGGGAGAAATATTCTGTTTCATCTGCTGTATCCGTAGACGACATGCTAACGTATAAACACACGCTATGTATGCACCGAATATGAACAGCAACTGCCGACGTCGGCGTGCCGGCGATACGCCGAGCCTGAGTTCTATCCTGTCGAATTCTGCACTTGTTTGTAGTTTTATGGCAGAATGACCAATAGCTATTGCAACGCTTAGGCGGCTGCCGCTTTGCAGCCCTGTATCTTTGTTGTGCCGGAGCGTAAATGGACTACGAATAGGGTATAATGTCTGTTTTTTCCACAATAAGATAGTGAGGTTACCTCGGAATCGTCTTGGAAGTAGATTCTCCTGCCGTATACTTTGTAAGATACTCTTGACCTCCAATATGTCTTCGTGGTAATAAGACCAAATTGCTTCTCTCAACTTTATTATTATTAACAGGCATTTTTAGTTGTTATTCAAGAGTATACCAAAAAGAACTTACTGTTGATTCAAAACTGAACGCTTTTATGGCAGGTTGGGTTATTAAAAGTCTTATGTGCTCTGAGCCTTTGAAGCCATCAGATTCCATATACTCACAATATGTTTCCAGATCCACTACTGAGCAAAGAGAACGACCTATCGAAGCAACTGACAAGTAACTTAGTGGACAATTCCAGTGACGATGAAGACGATAACGATCAAAATATGGAGGGTAGTGCCGATCATCCTTCAGATTATTAAGTTTTCTACACACTTCAACAGCCACGTCGTTGTGCCGCCTTCGCTGCAGCCTGCTACTTAACCTGATTTGTAACAGCTTAGAATTTTAGATACTTTTTATATGAAGTGTTATTACACTCTATAGATCGCAAGTCATATTAACGTAAAGATCATTTATAGGACGTTCATTCTAAGAATGCACTTGTGATTGGAGAAAGTGCACATCAGTAGAATTTAGTAGTTTTTATGGAATGCAATGTACCTACTTACATGTGCATAGTCAGGCGGTTCGTAAACCCTCCATAGCAAGCGTCGACTTCTGAAGAACATTCATGGATCTTAGATTATAAATTTCAATAAGTCGCAATCCCGGCTGTTAGATTGGTACACACTTGCAAAAAGTCTCTTACGTGTCAGGTACTCCCTCTTACTTTGACTAATAATGTGTGCTTTAAAAACCGTTGTATATTAGTATATTTTGAGTAAAATGTTTAATTGATTTGTCATTATCTTGATTAATAAATTCCGGGCCACAATAATAGTTGCAAGTCAGGTTCAGGATTCAGTTTCCTCTTATATGGCCATAACCCATAAACGAGATTTGTAGCAATTATTTTTAAACAGCTACACGTAGATACACACGTGATATGCATAAATGTATGCACAAGGTGGGACAAGTAGTAACATAGTGTAAAGTGTTTCTGCTTCATAACCAGATTATTCAAATCTATAACATTGATGAGCTTAAGTTGGAAAAATAATATCGGTTCTGGCATCGTGATATTTGGTAAAAATGTTAATCAACTCAGGACCAATAATATATCAACTTGATTTCACCAGTTTTACACATTTGGGAAAGCTGAGAAACGACCCATGTTTACTCATGTCCAACATCATGACACTCAATTTATATTAAGTTATTACTTTTGTCCCACGTTGTACACACATTTCCAATTCTTTTGACATTACTAGAGCGATATCCCTTGTAGTTGTGATGTCTTCTCAGGTTTTTCAAACCGATAAATTCTGCTAAATACTAGAAAATATTATGAAATAATTCTACTATTTTGTACCCGGTAACACTTACGCAAAATGTGGAGTTCAGAACTGGATACAAAAACTGGCTTCTTGTAGGATCATAATACTGGCTCTTTCCAAATTAGCTGTTTACGTTACATTTTCTATTGAAACGATGCGCTATAACATGCAAATGCCAAAATCTTGAAGTCTTATACGTGATAAATATTGAAAAAATCACCACACCTGAGAACACCATCGCAATGACTATTTATTGATGTCATTCCTCATCATAAGTCTACATTCCATATTTTTCCTTTGAGAATACCACATGACCTGTGGTTTTTAGTTAAGTTTTCTATAGTTTATACATGTATATACAGCGTCCTGATTTCTCGTCATATTTTTTTCGAGATACCAGTTTATAGTTTATTTTGGCAAATAACGCGTATAATTAGATAGAAGTAGAAACAGCTTTCATGTTCGTGCTGTCCAAAAAAAAATTATACACATGTATGCATTTATGTGTTAGAAAATATTGTAATGATTGTTAACATTGATTGTTTCGTCATTTTGATGTGTGTTATTTTTCCAGTATTATGTTTTAGTTTTTTAAATTATCACCCTGTATATTATTAAATATGTAGTTACGATACTTAAAATGGTACTCTGTACATAAAAAAGGTACTATGTATGAATTCGTATTCAGTTCCTTTTGTACTGTTGTGCAATAAGTTCACATTCAATATAATCATAATGTTTCCTCCACTTGCTGTCCAACAACTTAATTTATAGCAAAAGACTGCTTAAGTAATCAAAAGAATACAACAAATCTATCACTTCGTTGATATCAATATATCATCTCCTTATCTTTAAGCAGCGAATACTTATGAAATTTCGTTTGAGGAAACCTTTTTCACACACCTATAATCTTAACTCTTATTTATTGTATGTTTTTAAAACAATAAAATTAGATCTCTTATACAATGGCTTTTCTTTTAAGTTTCGCATTAGCTTTCCTATACCTACCAAAATATGAGCATATTAACGACACTTTAGAGCAGGAGATCCGAACCAGGGGAGCGCGCCTCCCAAGGGGGGCGTAAAGCGTTTGCATTTTAGAAAGAAAAAAATAAACAACATTAACAAATAACATTACGATGTAATGTTTAATGTACACGCATAAAATTAGAAATTAAATATCATATTCACTTATTCTGTCAACCGCTGTTTCAAAACGCGGCGTCGGCAATCGCAGTTTATACAAGTTTTGTTGAGAAACCTGTTTGTGAGTGTCAAATTATTGTGTCTCACTGTTAAAAGGTAAGTTTGTGTATTTACAAACTTCAGTTATAGTCCATCCAATTCTAATTGAAAATAACAAATCTACCAGGATCGCGTAAAGAATTCTAAAATCACATGTAAATACATTGTACCAGACCGAGCTCACCAACTTTCATCCAGTATACCACTGGTATATTTGCTACAGTAGCTCAAATACAGCGCTGATCGAGACGGCCGAGAATATCGAAGAAATAAAAAGATTATTTTGAAGGCCATATTGCTGAATGCACCAAAACAGTAAAGATTCCACGAACACAAATAAAAAGACAAGCATGGATATCTTGAAAAAGTGTTAAAATAACGATTCACCGAATTTGCAAAAAAATATAACTTAATAGCGGAAGAGCAATATGGTTTTCAATCTGCTCAAGATGCTATTGTAAAATTAACAAATAAAATATACACGAATCTCGATATTGGCAAACCAACTGCTTGTGTTTTTGTTGACTTGGCAAAGGCATTCGACTCTATTACTCATGAATCGCTTTTAACAACTTTAGAAAACTTAGGTTTCCGGGGAATAACATACAAACTCATAGAAAATTATTTATCAAATCGAACACAGCGCGTCAAAATTAATAACACATTCAGTGAACCCCATATTATATCATACGGTGTACCTCAAGGCTCAGTATTAGGACCCATTTTATTTAATCTATTTATCAACGATTTGTTCAAAATAAGTAGTACAGGTAAAGTTATCGGTTTTGCGGATGATACAGCTATTCTCTATGAAAACAACCAGTGGCATACACTAAAAACCACAATCGAACATGATTTCAAAACATTTATAAATTTCTTTTCGGAAAGAACTTTGACAATTAATTACAACAAAACACACTATATAGCATTTTCTTGTAACGACAAGCTCTCACCACAATTTAAAAAACTTGAAATTCATACAAGCAGTGGTCTCAAAGAGATTCAGTCAGCCGATAGAGTAAAATACTTAGGCGTGATTTTGGACAAACACTTAAAATGGGATACCCATACAGAGTACCTTGTGAAGAGACTGAGATGTATTATTCCAAAATTCAGGTACTTCAGAGATATTCTAGATAAGAAATATCTATATAATCTATATTATGCTCTTGTTTATCCTCTATTACTTTACGGAATTTTGGCTTGGGGGGGAGTTATGAATAATAATTACAAAAAGGTTGAGGTAATCCAAAAATTAATTCTAAAATTGATCCTCCACAGGGAGATTACTTATTCAAGTGATTTTCTATATATGGAGGCTCAGCTATTAGATTGCAGACAAATTTATTTTTATTGTGGTCTAATACATTATTTCAAATATTCAAAATACTTTAATCGTACCATTCATAACTACCCAACAAGATTCAATCAAAATTCAATGTGTATTCCACAAACATCAAAAACCATTACACAACGATCTCTGTTTTTCTTGGGACCAAAATTCTATAACTTCATACCAGGGTCATTAAAAGTAATTAAATCAAATAAATCATTTAAAAAACAACTAAAAAAATGGATTTTACAACAACCAAGGTACTCCATCCACGAAATTGTAGATCTGAAAAATCATAATCAAAATCAATAATATTTTACTTACACTAACATCCATACTTTTACTTCAGTTCTAATTGTCTGGATATTTTTCCTGACATTACCATAATAATTCACCAAATTATACAGTATTAACGGGTTTTTTCTTTTTTTTTTTCATACACTGACTGTCCTATTAGTTCTTATTTTGTACAAACCCAAACACAAGTGCAAACTTTTTTTGGGTGCTTTATGTTTATTGTGCACAATATTTGATATTCACTTGTATTTTGTGACAATAAACATTATTATTATTATTATTAAGAGCAACTATCTCGACTGGTGTGTCAGTCATTCAGGTCATTCGCCGCGTCCGAACCGGGTAGTTTTTTGCTTGACTGATTTATGACTTAAGTGCAGTAGTAAAATACTGGGTTAGTGCGTCACGTTAATCTATGATTCAAATAACTTTGTTCAAAATTTGTGGATTATTTATGCCCTCATTTATTTTGTATTATATCTCCGCTATACATGCTGGAATTTGTTCAAAATCCGATGTTTTACATTTGTTTTCATGGGCAATAATATATACTAAGTGACATATAAATCCGAACACCCAGTTTAAATGGTTTTATTTTAATAAAATTTTGTATAAGTACTTAATGAAGCATAATAAGTAAATGATAAAAATTTCAAAATGATTGCACTGCTTTAAAGCCCTTTGACCTTTAATAATGTGTGGATGCACCCTGATGTGCTACGCATTCTCCAACGCGCCTAGGCATGCTTCTGATGAGGTGGTCAATGTCCTCCTGTAGTATCTCATTCCAGGCAACCACTAACTCCTCTCGAAATGCTTCTAGAGTCTGAGGAGGACATTGCAAATTGAGCAATCTCCTACCCATCATATCCCACACGAGCTCAATTGGCGATAAGTCGGGAGATCTTGGTGGCCATGGTAACAATGTGACATCATTATGTTGAAAGAAGTCTATTGTGACTCTTGCAACATGTGGTCGGGCATTATCTTGTTGGAAAGTTGGATCGGCCAGGGTGTCAAGATAGGGTAAAAGATGGGGTTCTAGAACTTCGTGGATATAACGCTGCGCATACATGTTACCTCTGATGAAGATTAAAGGTGACCTGGAACCATAAGCTATAGCACCCCAAACCATAACTCCAACAGTGTGATGAACATGTCTTTCAACAAAAAACTGTGGATTCCTCCTTTCACCACGTCGCCTTCTAACCCTGGCACGACCATCGTGCATGCCTAAACAAAATCGAGACTCGTCACTACACTGTTCCATTCCTGATCCCAGAGTGACCGTTGTCTGCACCACTCAAGGCGATTACGTCGGTGTTCTCAAGTTAAAGGGAGGACCCAGTGTGGCCGGTATGAAAACAAGCCAAAACTTCTCATTCGTCGGTAAACACTTCGCATGCCAATAGGTCTTCCGTGTTCTGCAAACCATTCATTTGCAATGGACCTGGTAGTGGAGAAACGGTCCCTTAAGGCCAATAACCTTAGGCGGCGATCTTCACGGTCTGTTGTTCTACGGCGGCGTCCAGTGCCCCTTGCTCTTTGCGTACGGCCTTCTCGAAGCCATGCCTGACAACACCTAACCACAGTGTCTACACTTCTTTGCACTCTAACTGCAATTGCCCGAAAAGAAAGTCCAGCTTCCCGAAGTCCCACTATACGGCCCCTATCAAACTCACTAAGTTGACGAAATCGTACAGGTCTCCGTACTCTAGGCATCGTTACCGATCGTAAAAGATGTCAAGAACCAAAATCCGCCAACGTTGATTCTTTACTGCGGCTGAAATATTCATTTTTAGAGCGTTAGTGAATTAAAAAAAAGCAGTATAAAAACCGGAATGTCCAACTGATAAGGCTGAAAATTTTTTCACTTGTTATTTACAGTAAGATAAATACATTCACTAACTTTTATTAAAATAAAACCATTTAAACTGGGTGTTCGGATTTATATGTCACTTAGTATACATCCATCCATCTAATTCTAATTACAAGCAACGAAACTTTCAGAATTGCTCAAAAAACTGAAATTTACAATTGTACAATAGCTCAGCAGCAGTGGTGTCCGAGACCACTTCGAACAAACTAAAAAAGACTATTTTACAGAGATACTGTATACGTCGTCCACGAGCCTGAACAGACAAGTTTATGTCTGTTAACCGAAACCACCCACAGTCAGTTCAGTGTTAGTAGAACTGTGCGCTGCGTCACATCGAACGTTGAAAATATTATAGAACCGACTTCTGTCGATAAGGATTCGGAATTTAAAAATAAAGACTTACATGTACAGTGCCAAAGAGTCATTTTAAATATGTATGAATGTTTGAAGAAAGAAAATGTGGGAAATCCGAAATATAAAATAATCCGAATTATAAAAAAGAGGATGTCACAGATCAGAACATGAAACGAAAACAAAGGAAAGAACAATTCAAGAATATTGATGAGGGCGATAAAATAGTTATTCAGAATATAATTTATACTTTCTATAAGGAAAATGTAGTGCCAACCCTGGAAATGATTAAAAAAATTAGAAGGTTATCCTGATTACAAATACCATTCCTTGGAAACATTACGGGCTATCTTATTGAGTTGTGGATTCAAGCATAGGATTTCGAAAAGGCGTTCAACAAAGTACAATACGTAAAATTGATGGATATTCTGAAAAATACAGGAACTTGTACTGGAATCAAACCGCCAATGTAAGAATAGGAAATAGTCTCACCAGTGAAATAACCATACGTCGAGGAGTCAGAAAAGGTTGCATTTTATCTCCAACACTATTCAATGTCTACTCCGATGACCTATTCAAACAAGTACTTGAAGGACAACCACATAGGGTAAAAATCAACGGTGAGCTACTTAACGTAATTAGATATGGGGATGATACTGTCATTCTATCAGACAGCGTTGAAGGTCTCCAAGTCTTGCTTGATCGTATTCACAAAGTGGAAAATAAAATGAACATTCAAATCAATGAGAGCAAAACCAAATTCTTAGTATTCAGCCGTAATCCACATCCAGATGTGAAACTCAATTAAATAGAGCACAGGTGGAAAGAGTTCATAAAATCATTTACTTGAGAGCTGTT